ATCACTGACAGCCGCATGTCACTTATAACCAAGATCACAGCCACCTCTAATTAGGCCTTAACTCAGTAGCTGTAGAGCACAGGTATCAAACTCGCCATGTCACATGACATGTTGCAACGTATCGCAATTCTTTTTGCATTGCCAGCAATGGGGTGGGCATGGCTTCAGTATGATGAAACTGGCCCGTGGACCGGCATTTTGATACCCCTGTTGTAGAGGGAAGTCTCAGTCAAGCATCCATTATTTTGCAAATTGTCAGAAGTGTTGATGTACATGGAAAGAGGATCATGTACAGTTTAGTACTTCAACTTCATCAGGGGGCACCATCCATCTAGTCTCAGAAACTGAGCATGGTTGAATATAGTTAGCATTGGCTGGATGGTCACCAGAAAGTAAAGAGCTGATGGACTAGACATCCTTGAAAAAGGTAGAGGCAAACCATATTGCTGTCACAAAGTCTGCATGGGCATGGGCATGGAGACATCAAGAGCTGAATGCAACTTGAAGCAGCTAGTAGATTTTCTTTGAACAATGTTGAGTCTTATTTTTAATGTGGGAAATATAACTGAACAATTATTCCAGAAAGCTGGATTAAGGTACTAGGTTAGAAACTGGGAAATCATAAGTTCAAGTCATTTGTTAGGCATGAAGCCCATTGGGTGGCTTTGGGCCAATCACTTTCAGTCCTAGGAAGGAGATAAGGGCAAACCACTTCCAAAAAACTTACCAAGAAAACTGCAAGCTGCCCAAGTTGTCTCTGGGAGTCAACATTGACTTGAAACTCCCTGCCCCCACACACAAATATAAAACACATTCTGAGGCTGCTATGATTAGCTTTCTCCAGCACTGTATGATTTTATCTGGCTGATAAGCACTTTTACTGTAAAAAAAAATAGCCAAAGTATTTTATCTTATTTTAAAAGCTATGCTGCTGAAGAACATTATGTTCTTTTATCTGTAATTTATGTATACTTACAGTTTTATATGCATAAATACTTTTGAGGAACTTTCTGTAATTTTTAAAAAATAGACTACTTTCACTGTGATTGTAGTCTCATTCACATACCACTGTGCACCATAATTTAGCATGAAAAAGTAAGCTTTGGATTAGTGTACTCCATTACCTATGATGGTGCCAGAAAAAAAGTTGGAAGGTTTGTCCCAGTTTTAAAAGACACAAACTATAATTAATTTATTGAAATGAAGCAAAATTGGATTGAAAAAAGATGAAAAAGCGCCATTCTACAAGTTTAATTTTTGTTTCCTCTTCCCTTTGAATGCTTCCCATTTCAGCTGTTTGTGCTAAGAAATTCAGCTGCTTTCAGTACAGTATAAGAATTTTATAGCATAAGAGACAGATTTGTCTTCATTTTCTTTTTTTTTTAAATCATTCCATTTTTGCAGGACTGCTGTCTTTTTATATTCTAAAAGAACTTTTCTTTAAAAAAAATAAACTGCTCTGAGAAACTATCTACTGTGAGATTGAGGTACAGCTGCTTTAAATAAATACATACATGAATAGTGAGGGAGATGCCTTCTTTGTTAACCTTAAGCACAGTATTGGGTCTAAATATATATGAATTGTGGTTATTGGAAACAACACAGTATTTATGTGTATCAAAAGTAGAATGGGGAGGAGAGCACAAAAAACAAAGGTTTAATTACAGTTTATTCAGGTTTAAAGGCAACCTGTTTTCTAATTTTTCATTACAATATTTCAGGTTCTTCACTTCTAGGAACAATAGAAATCTCAAGACAGCTTTTTGCAATTTTTTTTGAAAGAAACAAGAACTGAAGATTTATATGTGCCTTGTGATATATATTTTCAGATGCACAATTTGAGCAGAGGGGAAAGTACCAGTACTAATTTTTAAAGCAGCATCAGCATTGCTCAAAAACATGGCCTTTGGAGGCTTCTCCACAGCTCTGTCTTGCCAACCAGATGCAAAACTGAGAATTTAGCCTTCACTGGATACAGTCAGACTGCCAAAGTATTTATCTATACATCCCATATAATCAAGTAAGAAATATATTCAGTGCTATAAACCTAAACTATCAATCAATATCAATAAATCTAATCATCAATAAACAATATTTATTTTTTAAAGATCTTTGACAATTAGAAAATGAGAAAAACAGTCCATCTTACATGATGGTAGGAAAAATCCAGAAGTATATTGTGCAATTATTTGGCTAGTTGAAATGGTGAGTCAGAAAGACTTTGAGCAACAGAGTGAGAGATGCTGCCTAGGGAATGATCAGATAAGAAGCCTGCAGTTACATAATGAGTGAAAAAAGAGGCTCAGAAAGGATCCTCCCTAACAGCTCAGGCTGTAAACAAAATGGCAGGAGATTTGTACTTTCTGACTTCCAAGATTCTGTTAATGTAGCTTTTCAATAAAGTAGAATGAGTCATCTGATCTGTTTTGTATCAGGAATACCTGAGAAGGGTGACACTAGTGTACTGAAAAGCTTAATATATAGAAACCCAGGTTGAGAGTTGTCCTGGAGGCATAAAAGATGCTAAGAGACATTTGAAAATTGTTTTCACTTAAGAATGTCATTTGTTCACAGGAAATGAAAAAAAAGAGGATATATAATCATTAGAATTAAATATCCATATTTATAAATAGACTAGAGTAAAATAAAATAGGCAATGCAGTTACTACCTCACTTTATTTATATTATTTCATTTCATTTTTTTAAAACAGAAGACAACATGGCAAATTCTTCCTTTGGAGGTGATTTCAATTAATAACAATATAAACTCCCAATCGGAAGCACTTAGGCTAATTCAAAAAGTGTGAAGTGCTGATTTCTTACACCATATGGATCAAAGGGGGCACATACAGTATCATATCCTCCTTTCATTTTTGTAGCTAGTGAGCTGATTGTTTATAAAATTCCCTCCTAATATAGAAAGGGGAACTTTCTTCGTCTTGCATGCTTTTGTTTACAGAAAGGTCCTGGGCTATTTTGATCTATTGCAGATATGCCAGGAAATGCAAGGCTATTGGCAGCCTCTTAAGCATTTGGGAACAAACATCCTTCTGGAGAGCCTTCAGTGCTGGTAATGTTGGCACTGAACAATCACCTTGACATCTCAACAATGTGTTTATTGGTTGGATACAGTTCTTAAAGCCTTTTTATGAATGCAGTCTTTTCAAGGTGTCCTTAATACAGTTCTATGTCTATATAGAAAAATCACACAATCATAATTTTAATAATAACCATTTAGCAAAATGAGAATGCATATTTAAATATTTGAAGTTGAAAGGAACTCTTCTCCAGATAAAAGGAAACCCCACTAGAAAATAGCAATAAATATGGCTAACTATACATCTCCTTATAAAAAAAAATCCATAATTGAAAAGCCATTACTCTCCATCTTAATAGAGCATGGCTCTGCAAAATGTTAGGTTAGCTTTTCCTAGCTAGATTTCAGCTGATTACCTGATAAACTTATAAAAGGGAGCAGTGAGTGACAACTGATTTCTCCTGTTGAATAAAGAAGTACTCTAAAAGTTGATTCTTTGGGAACTGTACAGCCTCCATCCAATATCAAATGAATCTTTCTGTCCAGTTAATAGATTTCCCACCCACAATATTTCCATTTCGTCTAGAAAAACGTCAGTTTATTTTTCTTCATTGATCTACAAAAATTTGAAATCACTTCCTACCATCTTTTATAGATTATATAGTTCCCCAGGAACTGGTACCTAGTAAACAAAATTAAGGCACTGCATCATCATGGAAATACTCCAGCCTATATCTATGCAGCATGCTATTAAATAAGAGAAAATTACAAATCAAAGGATGAATTTACAACAATAGGAATAATAATAACAGGGCAAACTATCTGTGGAGATTCAAACATAGCAATCTTGTCATTCCATATGTTGCAGGAATATTTGAAAAGCTCAGGAGGATTTTTAACCAAGACAACATATATGTACACTTTAAACCCAAGAATATACTAAGGCAGAAGCTTGTCCATCCCAAAGATAAAACCCCAGACAAAAACTGAGCAATGATATATATGCAATACGATGCAGTGAGACACTGAACTATACATTGGTGAAACAAAGCAACCACTTCACAAACTCATGGCACAACACAGGAGATCAAACCCATCAGGAAAAGATTCAGATGTCCATCTGCATTTGAAAGACACATTTTGTGTCTTGAAGATACATTTTGGATAGAGAGGATCATTGATTTGAAAGAGGTGTAAAAGAGGCCATTTATGTTAACATTGAGCAGCCCTCTCTCAACAGAGGGGGAGGGGATAAGGCATCACCTATCTCCAGTCTACCATGCAGCAGTGCCAAGAAGATTTCACAACCAACTGTAAAGATAGACCCCCAAGAGCTCTCACAAGAGTGCTAACGGACCAGATGACTGCAAAGAAATACAATCCTTCCATTCCTCCACCACCACCATCAGGTCAGAACCTATCCTCCATCCTTCCCCCTTATCACAACTGGTGAAATTTCTTGGATCAGAAATGAAATGTTTTGTTCTTCTTCCTCAAGGAAAAAAACAGTCCAGTTGCCTTTTGAAAAAGCACTTTTGAAACAACAGTGCAAATTATTATACTATGTAGTAACATCTGATCAGGCTTGGCTATTACATAGAGTTGTTAAATGTGAGTGGAACTTGTTTGCTTGCTTGCTTGCTTGCTTTTGCCATAGTATATCTTCATATTTTTCTATATGGAAAATCTAAGCTATTATCTGATCGCTAATTTCTTCTTGTTATAAAGCTTGGTTTATAGGCAAATAATAATCCGTAGCATTAATCTTGGTACTATGGTAAACAATATTTAATAATTCTGAGTTATCTTAAAGAATAGCTCTTCCCAGAATTATCCACTCTGGTATTTCTTAAGTTCACAACTTTAAGATGTGTAGACTACAGCTCTTAGAAGGCAGCCTCTTAAAGCTGCTGAGAAACACTAATCTATTTGAATTTAGGACCTTTTTCTGTTAAGCACTTACCTAGCCATTTTAGCTTCCGTTGTACACCTTTGCCAGTCCCTTACTGCAGAATTTGAGAAGTCCTTTTTACCTAGTGCTGCATCAATATTATTGCCATTTTGCATTACAAAAGGATCAAGTCCAGTCTTCCCTGAATCGAAACCTTTATATCTTGCCTGAAATAGTAACTCTGGCCTTACATTATATCATTGGTTGTTTGGATCCTCTTCCACCTGGTCTTCTTTCTGAGCCTTGAACTTTAAAAATACATGTTGGAGAACAGTTATTCCTTGGCATGACAGCTGCTCAAGTTAGTCACTATGTGCTGCACTCATATTACAAAAGTTTAAAATGTACAGCTGAAGTAGGAAAATAATACTGATGTAAACTTGCTTAACCTCACTATTGTTATTTCTTCCTTATTTTTTTTATTTCTTCACTGGGAATCTGGAGGATCATATGTAAATAATGTAAATGATTAATGTAAAATATTGTAATGTAATGTAAAATATTTAGATCCAGGACTCAAGAGCAGCTTACAACAATTAAAGCTGCAAACTAAAGAATTTCTATGCTCAAATCGCTAGATTAGGTAGAATTAAAAATACAGTGAATAAATATTTAAATCAAACCTGATATTTTAACATCTATTTTTATAGATTTGGGGCAAGCTGCAAGAGAAAGTGCCAACCTTTCTATAAATCTTGGGCATCAGATAGATTGGTAATATCAGCTTTTTATCAACTGCTGAATAACATGTATCATGAGTCACCTTGACTCAGAGTCACTTTGTAATCGAGATGGGTGGCATAAAAATTAAATAAATAATTAGATGATAGATAGATAGATAGACAGACAGATCACACAAGCATTTCCAAAGATTTTGTTTTAGGATTCCATGCGCAAGCGTCTCCAAATGTCAATTCTATTCCTTAAATATTTCTATAATTCTGTTGCTGTTGCAGTCAGGTGATTCTAAGAATAGGGGAGTATTTATTGGGCACTTTAGGCTGGTAAGATCCTCTGGGCACTGTCCTCCAGGCCATCCTGCTTCGGCCCAGGGGATAATTAAATGCAATCCAGCTGGGCTCTTTCCCAGTAGTAACTAAGTTTCCAAGCCAATTTCAGTTCAAAGGCCAGATCAATCCAATCTAATCAAAGCTGAACATCAATGGTGGTGGTAGGAACAGCATACTGAAACAGGAGAGAAGAGTCGGCTATCTTTTATTTGCTTCAAACACAATTCTCCTTGCACGTATCACCTGATGTAGGGGCTACTTTTGAAAATATTTTATTATCCCAAAAGAGACAACCAGCCAATAAATCCTTTGAACTCACCTGTGCAAAACCAGAGCATTTCTCAATCCCTTTATATCTTATGAAGACTTACTGGAAATGTTCTCTCACTGGCTGAAAATACTCTATTTAGTAGAAGAGGGGAAAAGCAAAACTAGAGAAATCCGCAATCTCAGATCTCAACATAACTTTGTACAGCATAAAAGAACACCACCATTTGCCAGCATTGTGCCTTTGGCAGGATAGGAATCATTAACTGGGGCAGCAATGCTTTCTTGCCGTCTCAAGAAATTACAGAAAGTGTTGTAAGGAAGAGCCCTGAGAAAAAACAAAACTGATAGGATCACTCATTCCTACCTTGTACAATTTTCTTCTAGTTGATTAAGTTCAGAGTAATTGTTTTGCTTAGAACTAGTCCCTTGCACTTTGGTTTTCTTAAGAACGTTATATGGCCTGAAACTAGGAAAATCCTTCATAGCTTCCATTTCTGCCACTTTTCACTCAAGAGATTTTAATTTTGGGATGGCATAACTCTGCGTATGCCTTTGACTATGAGGGTAAAAATTTCCCCTATTTTACTTTTCTCTATATTTTGGGATATATATGCAGGTAGATCCAGAAATACTTTTCTTACAGGAAAATCTAGTAAGCCAACTCCTGACTATAAGATGTTTTCAAACATATAAAGAAAGATTGCTGCTCTGACCAGCGTTGCCTTGGCCTGTCCATGCCTTTCCAGCATGAAACTGGACACAGTTTTTATTTTCCTGGTGCTGGTTGAACATAGACCTGGCTTCTAATCCACTCATTATTTACTATTTCCTGTTCATTTGCCTTTGCATCCCTCATCAGGTAGTAGTCTGTTTGATTGTAGCTTGAGGTTCAATCCTAGTTACATGGCTCATTTAAGTTAGCAGCCAAGCAAGTTGTCTTCTATATATGAAATAGAACTGGAGTTCTTTTTTCTTAGTTGTTTGAAAGACTATTGTCTTAAACTAGCCTTGAAAACCCATTCATGGCCTTCGTTTGAAACATTAATTTGGCCTAAGCAACAAGGCACATGGCTTGCACTAAAGGACCTTGTATTCAGAGAATAGAAATGGAAAATCCCTTTGCTTTTATCCTGAATAGCGCCTGTCTCTGTCTGCAGTGGCAAATATTAGCAAAACCCGTCCTTGCTAGGGTGATATAATGTCCTTATGGCATAACACTATAGTGTCCTGATTCCTTTTTTCCCCTCTGTGCAAGGAGTTTTATGACTAATAGTCTTGTCTGCCTGGAGATCCAATGACTACTTTGAGAGCATAGTTTGGTGAATAAAATGGCAGTATGCCTATTCTATCCTCTTTCCTAAACTATAGGTATCTCCTTTGTGTCTGTGTTATCTGGATGAAAATATTTACCACAACCAAGGCTGTAGAGGTCACATTACTATACTTCCTAAAGGGGAAAGAAATCTTTCCAAAGTCTGTATATCATATAACTGTGCTGGGATTATGGTGGCTTAAGGAGGACGGACTGGATGACTGGTGGTATAGTGAACAGTACGGAGTGTTTGCATAAATCATGGTTTGGGACCAAACAGGGCCAGCATCATGGAGGCAGTAAATAAATGCTGTAACTAACTAACTAACTAACAAAGAAAGAGTCTGTATTAATAAAAGACTGCTTCAAAGGATGTGAAAGGACAGGATGAGAGCAAAGTAATATGAGAAAAAGAAACTGTGTTTATACCAGGAGGAAAAGTAGAAATAGAAAACACTTTCATCTCTGCAGTTTTTTTACTTAAGTGAAAATGTAAGTCAGCATCAAACTGGTGATGACTCATGGCTTGTTCTTTCCCCTTTCTGGTAAAAGATGGGCGTAGAGGAAGGTCAGTCGGAGGACCAGTACTGAAAGGCAAGCTGCTCAATGCTGTGATGAGGAATTTCTCTGCTTCTTAGCTTCTCTCTGTGTCAACACTCAGATCTGTGAACTGTTCAGATGAAAGCAGTTTGTATAATAACCACAGGAGGGAGGTAACTAAGGCTTCTTTCCCTCCACCCACTTCTTCCTGCCACAGCAGCTACTAATAGTTGTTGCAGTCAAACTGTTCTGTGCAAATGAAGAAATGTAATATACATCAGATGGTATTCTGTTAGTTGCCCAGGGTAGAAAATCTCCTGCGGCAAGAATAGCTGGTTTCATCACAAATTAGTTGATACTTTGTCTTTTCTTGATCTCTGGGTCCCTGTCTTAAAAAGAAAGCTATGCAGCAACATGAAAACCTTAACTATCAGACAGGAGAAGTTCCAAATTGTCTGTCAATGTGATTAGCCAGAGGAGAAATGGAGAAAACAGAGCACACTGGAGGAAGATTTATGATTAGCTGTGGGCATTAGGAATGGGAGCTTTGCCTTTTAGGGACTTCTCTTTAAATGGGATCTAGCCAATCAGTGCAACTAAGTGGATGGCCTAGAATAATACCATGATGTGGACAAAATGTTGCATCCCTGCCGAACACCCATATCTTAACTCCCCCTTAAGATCCAGTTTAGATGTTTGGTATGGTTTATTGATCTGAAAATCATTCACACATTCATTTCATAAATGTGGGCTGACATATCATTTGATATCCTCCAAAATAATTCCCTGTGTAAATCCTACATTTTTTCCCTGTCCAATTATATTCACTTTTTTTCTTGTTGTCCCATGCTTTTTTAAAATATATATATATATATATTAATCTTTTTCCTCATTGCCTTGCAGCTTTGTAAAATATTTTAAGGATCACTTTTGACCAGAAACCAAGTAAAAATGCTTTAGTGTATTATGATCAGTGTGATTAGTTTCATTACTACTGTCCTTTGTTAATGTAACATCCATGGAAAGTACAAGATATTCTTATTTTTTTAGTTATTTTACTCCCATTATAGCAGCTTATTTGTCTGTCTCAGAAGAAAGCAAGAGGCACCAGGATGAATCTTTTGCAGGGTTTACTTAGAGAATTGGTGGTGCCTTGTACATAATGTAGTCATTGGTTTGAAAGAGGTTTGTATGAAGACCTACAAATATATAGAAATAGAATGACTGTGGCAAGCAAGGGTAGTACTAATAGTAATAAGCATCTTGGTGCAATCCCAAAACAACTGGAGCACCACTTGAACACTGTTGGCATTGACAAATTTGCCATCAGTCAATTGCAAAAGGCACCCTTACTGGGAACAGTTTCCATTCTGCGATTTCTGTAACACCATCAAACATCCACATCTGCCTGTCCCAAGTCCTTGCTGAGCACCCAATAGGTAGACAAAAATGCCAAACCCTAGGTGACTGTGCGAATAATAATAATAATAATAATAATAATAATAATAATAATAATAATAATAATAATAATAGGTACACAGCTGGAATAGTGGACTGGACTCAAGCAGAACTAAAAGCAATGGTTAGGAAGACCAGAAAAATAATGACAATGAATCATGCCCTTCATCCACGCAGTGACATTGACAGACTTTATCTACCAAGGCAAATAGGTGGACGTGGAATGCTACAAGTACATCAGATGGTTGAAGAAGAAAAAATGGCTTTGGAAGAATATCTGAAGAACAATGATGAAGATGCACTGAAATTAGTATATCAGGAAGGCTTACTGACTACTGGAGAGACCAAACTGGCCTACAAGAAAGACCAAATGAAGAACAGAATAGAGGCATGGGAAGACAAAGCATTACATGGCCAATACATTAAAAAAATAGCTGGGAAAGCAGATAATAACAAGATCTGGCAATGGCTAAGAGCAGGAAAATTGAAGAAAGAGACCGAGGGACTAATTCTGGCTGCACAAGACCAAGCCTTAAGGACAAATGCATACAAAGTCAAAATTGAGAAGACAGCAACAGACAGTAAGTGCCGCCTATGCAAAGAAGCTGAAGAAAC